GCAGAACTTGGAAACTGCATAGGAACATTGGAATAATAAACGTGAATGTTAGATTGGGCTCGTCATGACAAATTTGTTAATGCCCAGTCTTAACTCAGTTATTCCATCCAATCCCCCAAATTTTGTTGCTTTTCTCAACCAGTAACTGGCCATGCTGGCTTGGGTTTCTCAAAGCTGTAGACTAGCAACATCTTGTACGATCATCTTAAGAGAGTAGAGTGTCATTAGAGCATTTCCCCTCATATGTTTGATGAAGTGGACGTGTCCACAAAAGCTGACATTAAAATATAATAGTTAGTCTTTAAGGTGCCACATGATTTTGTCTTGTTTTGTTCTGTTTGAATTTGCCTGATATAGAGTGTCTTAGTTGTTGGAACGGATCAAACAAAGGCAGATGTTCAACTAACTTGTACGTGTTTGCAAATTTCTGACAGCTATATATACTGAAGACAAGTTTGTAAATATGGTTCAAATGAGACTGGAAGAAATTGAAGTATTGGTTGATGTACATGAAATAGTTGAATTTGACCCAGGCAGCAGCTTTAGCACGTTAGAACCTTGATTGCCTGGAGAAAACCCAATCCTATTTTTACCTCTTGTAGGAGTTTGACAGATAGGTTTTCTGTGGGCAATCAAAAATATCTAACGTATCCTTATGACAAAACTGGAACTAAGAGATTATGTTTCATGTTGTCAGTAAACATACCTAAAGTGTTCCTTACAGGGCCTATTTTGTGCCTATTTGTAATCAATGTTGCTTAAATAAACCACATCTATGGCTTGTGTGTGCAGTGGTTTCTTTAGATTGACTTAAGAGTTGTACAAGTTGGTCATTTTTGTGACTTTTAAATACAAATCGTGTTAGTGGCTAATATTTTATTTCTTTTTCAGTGGGGAGGAAGAGATGATTCCTTAAACTGAGGACTTGGTTTCATGTCATAATGCTCCAGGTTAAATTGATTTCAAGGTTTAGCACAATTGAAATCAATTTTAAAATATCAGTCTGCATGACATATGGCTAAGTGATAATTTTTTTTGGCCAGGAAGCCTTTTTTGTTGGAAAGCGTGTTTTTTTTTAAAACACCAGCTAGGGGCTTGCTTATTTTAACTTGATTGTGGATACAATTTATTTTGAATCAGTTTTGCATGTGTGCTCACCTGTGTTGCAATAAATTGTGTCTGTGGGGTTTGTTAAGTATTGGATGCCAGGATCACAAGTTTCTGAGTTGCAGGGCAACTTTGCAATACAATCTGTTTTATATATACAGTATATATTTTCCCCTCTCCCACTGGCATCAAGCAGTTTACGACCAGATTAAAAGTTGTCCCAAGAAGGCATAGCAACCTAAAAACCACATGATTTTAAAACAAATTCAAAACCCTCTGATCTGGCGTCCGATTCATTTTAATAGTGTGGCCAAGCCCTGAGAGAAAACCTGAGGAACCGATTGGCCACTGGAGGTTGAGTTACACACAGAGAAAAAGATATTTGCCCTGGAGACTCAAAGGACGTTAATGGCATTTTGTATTTCAACTTGAAAAGTGTTTTTTTTTTAAAGCTGTAGAAGCTTGGGGGAGGGTTAGAGGTTAAAATAATATTAAAGTGGTTCTTAATCTATCAGTTTCATCCTCCTCACACTCACCCCGGTGAAACCATGGGCCTGTACATCCCTCTCATCTCCTCCAGTCCATCTGTAGGAAAGTGATTGGAAGCTTTGCTTTTCAATTACAGTCAACTTAGGAACTTAATTCCGTTCCAGAAGGACATTCGTAAGTCGGAAAGTTCGTAACTAGAATCAGCATTTCCCATAGGAATGCACTGAAAAACAATTAATCCGTTCTGGATTTAAACCATCAAAAGCAGAGCCTGGGAAAGTTAGTTTTGGGGGATCTAGGGAGTTGTCTGAAACCCCTAACTTCTCCAGCTCTGCCTAGAAAAGTCTTCCCAGTCTCGGTCCTTCCTCCCCATTCCCCCATGCCAGTCTCTCCTGCATTCAGTCCGCCCCCCCCCAGCTCTCTGTAAAATCGGCAGGAATCAAGGAGCCCAAGGAGCTCCTCTTCCCTCCGCGGGTGAGGAGCGGCGTCCCTGTCCAGGCATCTTGCCTACCTTTGAGCTGGTCTCTTGCGATCCAAGGCGGACATGAATGCCACGCCGCCGCTGATGCTCCAGCTCCGAGGCGAGTGCAGAATCCTCCGAGCGGGTGGGCGCGCGCACGCCAGCCAGTCAGCGATCAATTAGCCGAGCGATCCAGGGAGGGAGAGGTTGGCTTTGGCAGTCGCGGGAGTTCACCAGCCAGATGGGGGAGGGTTCTGCTGCTGCTGCTGCTCCTCTTCCGCACCCTCCCTCCCTCCACCCCGATCCTCCCGGGATTCACGCCGTGCACCACCGAGCTCAGGGCAGAAGGCGGCGGGCCGAGCAGCCACAAGCGGGGGAGGGAGCTGCTTCTGCTGCTCCTCCTCCTCTGTCCCTTCCCTCCCTCCACCCCGATCCTCCCCGGGTCCCTGCTGCCGCGATTGGCGGCTTCGGAGCTCTCAAAGGGATTTCCCCCAAAATCGGAGGAAGCCCTTTGAAAGCTCCAAAGGCAGGGAGGAAGGGCAGGAAATTCGAATTTCCCGCCCTTTCTCCCTCCCTTTTGGGTTCCTAACTCGATCTGCATTCGCAAGTAGGATCTACTACTTGCGATGAGATCGGGTTCGTAACCAGAAATGTTCGCAACTAGGGCCGTTCGTAAGCCGAGGGCCCACTGTAATTGCAGCTTCCCGTAGTGCCAGAACCTAGACAGGGGTCAGGGGTCAGAGAACTTTTTTACCTTTTACCCCATAAAAAAATTATATACGCCGACATTACCCCCTTGATTTGAAAGGAAGGATCTCGGTCACATGCGGCCAGTTAAGCACCGCTGCCAAAGCCTCGCCGCCTGTGCCCGGGGCGCCTCCTTCACCTGCCAGTGTCATACTCAGTCCTTGGCCCTGCAGGGGCAGCTCCCTTTCTCCGCCAGCGGGCAGCTTCTAGGCGCCAAAGAGCAGCAGGTGGCTTGCCCGACGGCACCTCCCACTCTGGCATCGGCAGCTGCTTGTCAAGGTGGCTACGTTGGTCCTTGGCATCAGGCCTCCTGCAAGACTTGCCATCGAAGCGCCACGACAGCTGCTGCATAGAGGATGAGAGGCTCCGCCAGGCCCGGCCGGTTGGTGTGGAGGTACCGCTGAAGGAAGCCGTGCTGCCGCCTGACGGGCTCCTCCAGGAACAGGGATGGGCCTGGGGCAGCGTCCCAGTGCCAGGAGGCTGAGCCTGGCCTGAGCTGCTGTCATGGCCGTGCCCACCTGTCCTGCCGTTATCCATCTCTCCAGGCACTGGAAGGAGAGGCGCCTTGCCCTCCGCCATGGCTGGTTCCACCGCTGCCACCTTGGCTGCTGTACACCACCGACTGGGGCCTGTCACTGGCCGCCATCCACCGTGGCTCGGTTGCAGCTAGGCTGGAGAAGGGTGCGGGAAGGGGCGATCGGGCATCCGGGGACTCCCCCTCCGGGCACAGGAGGAGGAGGAGGAGGGAAGGGGGTTAGGGTTGCATCCTCATTACCGCCAAGATTTTCATTTTTACCCCATTTGGGGTAATTTACCCCTGTTCCCTGACCACTGACCTAGACAAACTTGCAGCTTATTTTCATTGTGGTTTGCTGAAACAACCCAACTTCAAACTGTAGTTGGTTTGTTTTAGTTAAACATAGGATTAAACACAGTTGATGATCCAGACAAGGTGCTAAGATGAGATTTATCTAAAATACAGACTTCTGATTTCATTTTCATATGAGGCTTAATGAGGCTAGTTTTTGTAATCTCAGACTGTGGTTTAGTTTTTAGGCTGAAAAATAGCTTGCTGCGTAGGCTTGGACAAATCATTTTTTCTTTTTCTCCCTATCTCCTATCTCATAGTATTTTCAATATTGAGATAGAAATGTTTTCCTTTATAGGATTGCTCTAAGAGTAACTTGGGATTTACATGTGAAGTGCTTTAAAAAAAGCAAAGCGTGCTGCTTATATACTGCCCCATAGCACTTAAAGCACTCTCTGGGTTATTTACAAATTAATGATGCAGGCTACACATTGCCCCCCCCCCCAGCAAGCTAGGTACTCATTTTACCGACCTTGGAAGGATGGAAGGCTGAGCAAACCTTGAGCCAGCTACCTGGGATTGAACCCCGGGTTGTGAGCACAGTTTTGGCTGCAGTACTTGAGCACTGCACCATGAGCCTCCTGCAAACATTACACATAAATACTAAATATTGTCTGAAATTCTGTTGCTTGGCATAAGAAAATGTGTACCTTTCAGTATGTTCCTGACCAGTAAATGAAAAATCTCTACTGTGATTCTCAGGGGAATGCACCTGTGCACCAAGCCAACATGCAACCACCCCCCACCCCCGAGAATTATTCTCTACTTGCCAGCAAGGAACAGACTGAAAGTTACACATTTTGTTATGCTAAGCAATAGGATTTTAGCCATTAGCATGATCAGTTTTGATTTGTTGTGACCTGAACTTGGGTCTTCTTATATAAATGTACTCAAGCTTCCACTTGCTTTAATTTTGTTACCAAACCAGGAATTAGAGAAAAGTGATTGATTGATTTTGGGAAGTGATTGATTGCAAATTGCAGTAAGGTTTCTGTGCAAAATTTGTTTGATGTTGCTTATGACCAGTGAAAGGTTTTATCTGATAAGTCTACCAGAGACATGGAAAAGCAGCTGTACTCAGTTACAGTAAGTCTGATACTAGTAAATCTTATTTTCTGCCCATTCCTCTCTGAAGAATTATAGCTAACAAACTGTTATTCCTGTGCTGTTCCTGAAAAAGGAAAATCAGGTTAATAGCAGGAAACGGTTCATATAATGGTTTTGACGTGATGTTTTCATCCAGCATTCTAAGGGTCAATGCTATTTTCTTGGTACAAATCTCTTAAAATATACCATAATGTTCAGCATCCTATTGTATCTTTTCAACAGGGTCAGCATATTTCATTAGCACCCATACCAAAAATTGAGGAGGTCCTCTACAAATATCAGCCATTGCATGTAGACACCTATGGGCCACCAGTTCCAGACCGGGACTTGCTGGAAAAATTAGGGTAAGTATGCCCCTCACCTCACTTCCCAAGTGTTACTGTCAGCCGTGTCAGCAAAATGATACTCCATCAGAGAACTTCACCATTTTTTATTTTAATTCCTGAGAAGAGAGAGCTTTTCCTCCCTCTGCTCAAAAAATTAAAAAAAGAAAGAAAGAGAAGAGGGAGGCATAAAGCAAAACAGAAAGAACTTAACAGAATCGTCAACTTCCTGCCCAAACCAATGTTTTGTTTGGGTGGTGAAATGTGATTTTTGTTTCTTCCTTCACTCTCTCTCTCTTTGCTCGTCTGGTCTTTTATAGATCAGTGGAGAATTCGGCTGGATCACATTAGCGTTTGCAAGGTTGCCATTGGCAGTCAAGCAGAAGTGGCTGTTCATTTTCAGTTGCACAGTATCAATTTTTTTTTTAAAAAATGGAAATGGAAGGGCTTGACTTATCCAACATATCAGCAGTAGGCCAATAAAAATACCGGGGCTTGTTCTGAGCCATGGGAGAGGTTCGTGGTGTTGTTTCTTTTTAAAATCTCTGATCTGAAGGGAGTGATGGGTTTCCATCTGTAAGAGGAAGGGGATGTCTCTTGTCCAAGGTCCCTTTAGATATGGGGAGCTGGCATACCCAGCTGGAAGCTCCCTTACAACCTCCTTCTGTGCACTTGACAGCCTTGTATCCCAGTGCAAGTTCCATGACCTGTGGAGACAACAAATGTTTCTCCTTACAAGACTTGGAAAACTTAAGTATCCACTGGAATAGCTATTGGCCATTATCACTGGCAGATCTGGGCGTCACCGTAAAGTTTCCAAGCTTTGGATTCCCACAGCTTCAAAAATAGGCAGTGTTTTTATAGATTTTAATAGATTTCACTAAGTGTGAAAAAAAACACATCTTGGAGATTAATCTTGATGCAGGTAGGTGAGCTGCAGTGGGCTCAACAGCAGAGATTGTGGTATGTGTTTATGTACAATATATGCCTGTGTAACCATGGTATATACAGTGGTGCCTGGCTTAACGAGCGCCCCGTTTAAAGACGAAACCGCTTAGTGATTAAGATTTTGCGATCGAAAAAGTGATCGCATTGCGATGTTTTAAATAGGCAAAAATTGCTTTGCGATGATCGGTAAGCTGTTTCGCTTACCGATTATCGCATAGCGATCTTTTTCCTACAGCTGATTGACAGTTCCAAAATGGCCGCCGGGTAAAAACATGGCCGCCCGCTGTGTTTAGGGACTGATTCCTCGCATACCGGGCAGTGAAAATGGCCACCGTATAGAAGATTTTCGCTTAAAGGTAAGTTTTAAGCCCATAGGAACACATTGAAGGGGTTTCGTTGCATTCCTATGGGCTTTTAACAATCGCTTAGTGATGTTTTCGGTTAGCAGCGATTTTTGCTGCACCGATTAACATCGCTAAGCGAGGCACCACTGTATACAATTTAGATTTTAGACAGTGCCACATCCTGTGGTATAAATAGAAAATTGTGTTCTTGAAGAGGGAAGGGGCATTGTAAAAAAGCTGGAAAGAAAGATGGAGTATAATCTGAATGAATGAAAGAGTGAATGAATGAATGAAATGAAATAATCTTGTAGATAAAAGCTTTTCTTATCTTTCCATTTAGATGCACTGATTTTAATTTGGCAGTACCATGTTTCCATAATATGAGGAAGGTCAGAAAAATGGTTAAAGGATTATATCATCACATTACTGTGTGGGATTAGACTAAATTTCTTGAGGGTCTTTTCGAGTTGCTTAACCAAGGAGCCCTTTCAGTTTTGGCTTTCTCATCCAGTGTCCCCCACCTCACCCCATTAGCTGGTATATCAGGTTATCAAAGACAAATATTAATTAGCTTTCCCAACCCTGATGCAACCTTGATCTAGCACACACCACCTGTTCATGGAGCAGCTGCTAGGGCCTCCAAAGCCTTGGGATTTGCGGTGACAAATGAACATGTGTGACAGGAAATAAGCTTCTCTTTCTATATCAGGGACCTCGTGGTTCCTGACATTTCATTTTTGAACTAGAGTTTGAGTGCTGACTTTTAGCAATCTATGTGAAACTGTCTCTTGCATGTAAAGCTTGTTACCACAGGATCTAAATTCATCAGGTGGCATTTGCTGTTCTTGCTCTTGCTTAAAAATAATGCACTTAAAAGTAAATAACAAAATGGCAACCCAGTATTAATTTACTCATCTTATTGATTGAGTGAATTAAATTTCATGCGAAGCTTAGTTGATTAGTTGGTCAATTTAATCATTCTTTTGAAAAAGTGATGGTCTAAAAGCTCCCTATAGTTAATTGTGTTGTGCATCTATTATGATGATGATGATGATGATGATTATGATTATTATGATGATTATTATGATTATTATTATTGATTGAATACCTTTAATTTGTATGCACATTTTAATGTATATATTTATTTGAATACATATTTTAGTATGGAAACTGCAGATGGTGAGCAATATCTTAACAGAGGCATTCTAGCTGGCTGGACAGCTCAGTGATTTATGTATCTGGCTGCAGAACCAGAGGTTGGGAGTTCGATTCCTCCCCCTGTGCCTCTTGAGAGTAGAGCCACCTCATATGGCCTTGGGCAAGCTGCACAGTCCCAGGATACCCCCAGAAGAAGGAAATGATAAACCACTTCTGAATATTCCTTGCCTTGAAAACCCTGGGAAGGGTCCCCATAAGTCAGAATTGACTTGACAGCACACAGTTATTATTACCTTCTGTCACACTGAGGTGAAAAGTCACTTCTAGGATTGACAGTGTGATAAACTAAAAATTTATTCTTTAACCTTCAAGGATAGGTGAATTGATTCATTGTCCAAAACTCCCACGATAAATTGATTGGAACATTTTATTTAGGTTGCAACCTGATTCATTAGAATTTGTTGTTGATAATATGGTTAGGATTTGTGTGATATATTGTACATAATGTCAAGAATTCTTATTATTAGTTACAAGGTTGGCTGGAGTTATTATCTATCAAAGGACGGATGAGTAAAAAACTCACACGCTACCCATTGCGCAATCTGGTGGGTCTCTGCATTGACGGGGAGAATAGGGAATGTTTACTCCTCCAGATGTTCTGGCTTTCCAGCCCCAGAAGTGCTAGCGATCATGGATGATGGATAAGAATGTGAGGACTGTGTTCCAAAATATTTGGAGGCCACCTCCCCTGAGCTAGGGGTCTGTTCTCCCAACTTATGCCCCGCCAAGTTCTCCCTTGAGGACAAATCAACCCCTTCCCCATTTTATCCTGCCAACTGTCCAGTGAGGTAAGTTCGGCTGAGAGACCTGTATCCATAAGTTTGTGCTGTTAGTTCCATGGCTGAATGGGAATGAAAAGCTGGTTTCGTAGTTTTGTACCTTAATCACTCCACCGCTTATTTAGTCATCCAAGGATCTATCTGTATAGCTGAGTCTGTGCAAATTCTGCACCTCCGGAGTTGGCTTGAGCCATTCAGCAAGAAGTTTTGCTGAGAAGGCGGCCATCCGTGTGTTGCTAAATAATATTGGAATGGCTGGCATATTTTTGAAGGGACCCATCTCATGGAATGCCCTGAAAGTAATAAACCACGTCTCAAAAATCAATAGAAAAGGTTACCAGAAGTAGATTTTCAGAAGGATGGAGGGCAGAAGTAATACACTGCTTTGGCAGCAAAACGGGGAAGTGGAGGTGGGGGAGAAATGCCTTTTCTCCCGAGAGCCAGAGAAGCTGAAGTCTGCACATTGTTTTGGGAAACTAACTAGTAAGCAATAAATTGTAGTAATCAAGTTGCAATATTATTTTAAGGACACGGTGTTTTTCTGTAGCCTAAGTGTGTTCAAAAAGAAAGGAAAAGAGCAGTTTAACAACATGCAATTAAAAAACTAATAGCTCAAAAAAAAATCTGTTAATAGTATTTATTTATTTATTTAGCTTATATACCACTCAGTAGTGTGATATGCACTGTCTGGATGGTTAACAACCAACATATATAAACTACAAATGCAATAAAGCAAAAAAAGCAAAGCGTGCTTCACATATACCTTCCAATAGTGTGTAAAACATTCTCTGGGCAGTTTACAGTTTAATTATTCAGGCTACACTCTGGCAAGCTGGGTACTCAGGTTACTGATCTTGGGAGGGTGGGAGGCTGACTGAACCTTGAGTTGGCTACCTGGAATTGAACCTGCGTCGTGAGCAGAATTTTAGCTGCAGCACTGCAGTTTAACTAGTGTGCCACATAGTTAGCAATAACGATAAATAATGAGAATAAGCATAAACAAACAATAAATGATAAAATGATCCCCGTGGCTGAGCAAATCTGACATAAGTAAACAAATTTTAGACCACAATTGGGCACCATATGACACACAATAATAAAAGGTGTCTTTAAACATTTCTGTTTTAAGTAACTTCTTGAAACTGTAAATGAAGTAAATGAAGAAGACAAAAGAATACGCCTATGAAAATGCTAGGCAGAGTAGCAACAGTATCAGTTGGGTTGCAAAGTCAAAATAAATAAAAGTCAAAATCCAGTGCAAGTGATTTGTTAGTATGGAGTTCATATCGTTCCCTTAAACTGTACTCTTTTGAACCTTCCATTCTGCATCAAATCAGTCAGAAAAGATTGCATGAACCATGGCTGGATGTGATGAAGGCTGTTAGTCACACTGTCTGCTTTGTCTGTCATTTTATGCTGGATATTTCGCTGCCTGCTTGTGAGATGTATGCCAAATGGATTCTTTTAAACGGTATATTTGGAGAATTTGTTATAATCTGCTCTGAAGAGTGGCCAATAAAAAATAGGAAGAAACGAACAAATAAGAAGTGGGCAGCAAGAAGGCCCAAATCTGTCATCTTCATGAATGAATAGAGTTCTTTCATTTGTTCATGCTGAGCAGAAGAGAAGAGCCATAACAAGTAACTATAAGTTACTGGTTGCTAATCAGCTCCAGATAACTACAGTGGGGTCTTGACTTAAGAACGACTTGAGTTAAGAACATTTTGACTTA